TTTGGTTGGTATTAGGCGGCATGTTGTGGGATGAGAGTCCTGAGTGCTTGATGTGAGTGATGTAACTGAGGCCGTGCTAGGGGCCACCCTTGGAGGAGAAGGCCACGCCCACTTTAAGAGGCCACGCCCCTTTCCTGGTGGCCACACCCCTAGCCTGTCCCAGGTGACTCCCACCCAGGATCCTGGAATGGAAGAAGGGTGGTCAACAGTCTCACCACTGGGCTTCAGGCGGGAATCTGAGGCGCGGCTGGTGGGGCAGGAGCACTTCTTGGCTGGGCGACCCCTACCCACCTGGAGGGGAGGGGCCGACAGACTGGTGGGCGGTCCGCGGAGCTGGACAGGCACTTTCCCCACTGGGCTTCAGGCGGGAATCTGAGGCACGGCTGGGGGGGCAGGAGCACTTCCCGGCTGGGCGCCCCCTACCCACCTGGAGGGGAGGGATCAACGGTAAAAAGGTTTTAGAGATGCTCATAACTAAAGTTCTTACAACATATATTCACTAGGCAAAAGTTCGCTTCATGTTAGAAATTAACTAGGAGACATCTTAGAATCCTGATTTCCAGGAAAACACAGATACAAAGATTGAAACTCTCATAGATCATCATGAAACATTAAGGATTTCACGCTTGTGTACAAAGCTCTCTGAAGATCAGGGTTAGCTTGATACCTGCTGTCAAGGCTTTGCATGAAATAAAGTTATCAAAATAATAGCATGCACTTTCAAGCACTGGATAGGCTGATATAGTAAGTAAAATTTCTCACATTTTACATGCAATTCTCCATTCTTATCTCATAATTTTACCAAAGTGCAGTGCTATGGCTTCAAACTGTCAGGCTGACATCTGAGACTAATTCATTATAACTTATTGCTAAGTAGCTCTAGAAGTTTTAGTTATATAAAGTCTCAGATCATATAAAACACTGGAAGGATAAGCTTTGCAACCAATTTTATAACTCTAGAGACTCATGTTTTAAACTAACCCAGTACTCTTTGAACCTGTTTTTATATCAACTCACAAGATTTTCTAGGTCAAATATTCTAATAATCCAATGCAGATACAAATATGTATATTGATAGAACAGCATAAAACCTTTGAACCACCAATTTTTATAAAACATGACAAAATATTCCTTGGCTTAATTTCAATAGTTCTTATACCTTAGTTATTTGAAATCATGAGCTTTCTACACCAGATATTTTAACAATTCCATAAGAATACAAACAATGCTTTCAGACACAGAAAAAGCCCTGTGGGTTTTTACCAAACTTTGATATTATCATTGAAAATAACACTTGAACTGTCAATGTTTATGGAAACACAAAAAAAAAACTTTGTTTATTTTGATGCCTTCTGTACATCTGTTGTTTGTAAAACAGCTAAATTTCTCATTATAATTGGCTGAGGCTTGTAAGATAGACCCTTGCATTCTCTGAACTTTATTTCACTTTAGTTTCAGGCTCTAGCTCTACAGCTCTTCTAGATAGTACAGATTCTTAAGTTCAAAAGGATTTCAACTGTTAATAATTATATAATCATTAATGTACTTCTAACAAGAAAGAGAATCAATCTTTAGATTGATGATTCTGCTTTCTCTGTAGGCTCAAACTTCTGATTAGAAATCTTCGTTTAACCCTTGTCTAACAACTGCATTTCTTTTTTTTTTTTTTTGATTTTTTTTATTAGTGAAACACCATGAGGTACAGTTGTAGATTTACAAATTTTTGTCCTTGGGTTTCAATTATACAATGACCAAATACCCATCCCTCCACCAGTGCCCATTTTCCACCACCATGGATCCCAGTGTCCCTCCCACAACCATCCCCCCCCATCCCACGCTGCCTCTGTAGCAGGGCATTTCCTTTTGTTCTTTCTCTCATTTTGGGTGTTGTGGTCTGCACAATTGCATTTCTTAAATCACTGGGTTGCATATCACTGACTTCTCTAGAATTTCTACTTCTGATTTCAGCCTGGTTCCAACGCTCGAGTGTTTCACATAGAGAGACAAACAGGCAGACAATGAACTGACTAAGAACACCACACATACATGTGCACACATCTGCAGTTGATTGATCGATCTGTCCCTTCAAAAATGGCAGGGAGAAAACTGATGGACTGAGAAAGGAAGGGACAGTCCCCAGGGCAAAGAAGCCTTATCGGCTGATTGGGAACACTGCTCCCTGTTTCCCAGCCTGACTGGCCAGCTACCATACTTTGGTCAAGGCTAGCTCCGAGGCAGGGAGCCAACATCCTCCCATCAGACATGGAGATAGGCTGTCTTAGTGACACACTTCTTTGTTTCCGATATCAAACAGTTGATTGTATGATCTTGCATTTTCCTGCCTCCTCTGTTTTGATAATCCTATTTCTTTTGTTACCTCCAAAGATCTGATTGAAAAATGATCTGGCACTGCAAACCTCCACTCACTGGCAATCCTTCCCCACACTCTAGCTTATACTTAGGCCATGTGGTGTTACAGAGATACTCCTTATCTAAACTACCTAGTTGGAAGCTCCTCAGATGTTTTCATAAGCAACCCAATGAAGAATCTTTAGATATCGATATGGAATTTCCCATATTTCCTAATTGTAAACAATAGTCTATGAATAAGGATGGTTCCTTGGCAAGAATTTTCTCCAGGTCTGTCACTTTGGCCTCTCCCAAGGGGACTCAAACCCCTCTGGTCTCTCCCGAGGGGACTCTAACCCCCCGTAAGTTGGCCTAGATTCATTGGCTCATTGGATTTGGACTCTCTCCACCAATGACCTCTGCTTTCACTGCAGGCGTCCCTGGGCTGGTCTGGCATCGGGCAGACACACAGCTGTGTGCCTGAGGTGAACCTAGTGCTGTGGTCTTAAAAACTCTGCTCCTTAAAAAACAGTTCTGCCTTTCTTAGCTTGCTACCTCTTCCCTACTTTTTGCTGGCTTGCTGCTTTTTTCAGGCCTCTTACCTGCCTTTTACCTTTTTTTTCCCTTTCTACCTTACATCTGGACTGCCTTCATTAGCATTTCAGTTAACCTCTAGCTGAACTTCTGGTTAGACTGAGACTGTGTGGGGAAAAGGATTTTCTTCCTAGAAATTGATCTACCTTAGTTTCCCAGAGTCTTCTCATTAGTCGCTTTCCTCCTGTCCCTCACAGTGATGGTGATTCAAAACAGACAAAGGAGGGGTGCCTCTTTCCAGAGACCATTCAGATACTTGCCTGGCTGGTGGAGCATTTGGCCTTAGTGGTTCAGCATTGTGACTTGAGACTGGCAGATATGCCAATGCAACCCTTGACCGTACGTTCTCTGTGGAATCGTAGGCAGCCCACTCAAGCGCTGTGACTTTAAAGGGACTTCAAGAGTTCCAGCTCTTGGATCTACAAAATCATGCCAGATAGGAGGACCTATCAGGGTGCTCATGCATGCACACATTCACACAGAGGTTATCACATTCGTCTCCCAGGCCCCCTAGAGATTTCCAAGGGAGCATACCTTCACAGCAGATTTTCCACAGATTACCTCCTTCCTCATGGATTTCTTCCCTGCATCATTTCCTTCGTGGTCGTCATCTGAATTCCCAAAAGAGGGCCACTCAACATAGCAGAAGGTATCCAACTTAACCTTCTTCACCACCAGGCCCACGTTCTGGGCCTTCCTTTGAACCTTCATTAAGTGACCTAGAAGCAAGGAATTCAGGGTTGACTGGGTCTGCTCCATAGCTCAGAACAATTTAGCACCAATGGCAACAACAATCCCCACCAATCCCAGTATCTCAAAGCTTAAAATAACCACACACACCAATCGGCCACACTCGCTTTGACCGGTTTTCTCTTCATTCAAGGTGATCTCTCACTCACCACTCTCAGACTCACACAAGTAGTGCAACCTTGTCCAAATGGGGTCCATGTGGTCTTCAGGAAGACAGGATTGAGTGGCATGATATCTTCAGGTGCCAGACTTCTTTTTCCCTTGGGAGGATTCTGACCTCCACGCCAAGGGCTCTGGGGGACTCTAATCTCCACCTGCAGGTTTCCTGGAGAACTCTAACCCCCTAGAAGGACTCTAATTTGCACCTGCAGGTTTCCTGGGGGACTGTAACCCCCTGGGAGGACTCTAAACCCCTGGGAGGTCTCTAACCTCCTGGGAGGATTCTAACCTCCACCTGCAGGTTTCCTGGGGGACTCTAACCCCCTAGGAGGACTCTAACCCCCTAACCTCCCTCTCCTACCTGTTCCTTGGGCCTGTTGCCGTGGAGGGAGATCTTGCTGGGGCCTCCAATTGTTAGGGCTCGATTCTTGATCTCCAACCACAGAAAAGGACCACACAGGAATGCAGTCAGCTAGCAGGCAGTTTACTAAGCTGGCTCGCCAGGGTCGTGCACATGTACACAGTGACAACCAGATCCCGTGTGAGAGGCAGACCCTGACTCAATGTACAGGGGTTACTTATATAGGCCCAAGTTGGCCATTAGAGCAAATTTAAAGGTCACAATTTACACAAGGGCCCGCACCGGGCTTCACGCAATATCCGGGTCTGAGGGCTGAGCCCAGCCATCTCTTTCACAGCTCAGGGACCCATACATTTCTCCTGGAACAAGCAGATAGTTCCTCCCGGAACAAGCAGATAGTAGAGAGCTGAGTAGAAATTTTACTATCTTCATTGTCCTTGACCCGGTCTGAGGCTGTACTGTCCTAACAGCATTAGGAAGGAATTTTTGATTGAATAACCTGAGTATTTGTACACAAGATTAGGTATTCTAAATTCAAAAATTAAATCAACTCTAGCACATAGGTTTGAAAAGTAGAAGAATTTACCATCCCTGATGTAATTATGTATTTTATATTTCTTTTTGCTTTCAGTTATAGAGGATCAGCTTTCAAATCATATCTGAAACAATGCATGAAGAATAACTTTTAAATGTTACTTAATTATGCTCTACGCATATTGCTCACATTAATTATTGAATAAATAAAAGTGTGTAGAAAGACTTTATTTTAATAGTCACTACTCATATCATGGAATTGCTGTGGATCAAGGATATCTTCTCTAGGAAATTTATTGGGTTCAGTGGAGTCTTCAAGGTAAAGTTCATTTTCCATCTGTTTCCAATTCTCTTGACTGCGGATTACAGAGCACGTCCTATCATCTCAAATACAACATATGTCCCAGCCTGGAATGCTCCAAGTGACAACTGTAAAAAACTATTTCATATTTCTGTGGATCTGAGCTTATATGCATTAAAAGGAAACCCTCAAGACACTGCCATAAGTCAAACTGTTAGCTTATTTTATGTTGAAAAACTTGGCCTCTATCCACACATAGATGAAGATACTGGAGAGCATAAACATGGAGGGATTCCTCAGCTGGGAAATATATCAGAACATTTGAAACAAGCTGAGAAAGACATTTTACATTACTTACCAAAAGATGAGTTAGGCTTGGCTGTAATTGACTGGGAAGAATGGAGACCTACCTGGAGAAGAAATTGGTTAAAAAAAACAATTTATAGAACTGAATCAATTGAGTTGGTAAAAAATAGGTCAAAGCTTATAGGTAAGAATGCTGAGATTCAGGCACAAAAAGAATTTGAAGCTGCAGGAAAGGAATTCATGCTGAAGACTTTGCAATTAGGACTGAAACTTCGACCAAACAATTATTGGGGTTTTTACCTTTTTCCTGATTGTTACAATCATAATTATGTAAGAGTTAGTCCCTACACTGGAATTTGTTCAGAATTAGAAAAGCAAAGAAATGATGATCTCCGCTGGTTGTGGAACACAAGCACTGCCCTTTTCCCATCCATTTATTTGAATACAAAACTAAAGAAAACTCCAAAGGCTGCACTCTTTTCCCGTAATCGCATTAATGAAGCCATTCGGCTTTCTAAACTACAGGACAGAAATAATCCACTTCCAGTTTTTGTATATACCCGTCCTGTTTTTACTGATAATATCACAGAATTTCTTTCTGAGGTAAGTAAATCAAGGTAGGATAACTACAAAACAGTGTCCATAATGCTATTTAGTAGAATTTGACTATATTTTTGAAGGGAATAAAATTTATCTTTGACTTTTATTTATTTGGCTTGGATCTACCCAGCGTTAACTCCCAGCTCTGTGCTCAGGGATCACTCTTGGAGAAGATTTGGGGACAGGAATCAAACCTGGCTATATTGTGTACAAAACAGGTGCCCTGTTATTTGTATGATCTGTCCAGCCCTAAAATTAATCTGGTTTTATTTCTCTTCTTGAGCTACATCTGGCAGTGCTGAGGGCTCGTTCCTGGCTCTGCTTTCAGGGATCACTCGTGGCAGACTTTGAGGTCTATATGGGATGAGTAGGTTTGAACTTGTGTAGTCTGGCTGTAAGGGAGCACCCTACCTAAAATACAATATCTCAGCTCCTAAAATTCATCCTTAATAGCTTTTAGGAACAAGCGTACATAATTTTATACCAACACATACAAAATAAGACTCTAACTTGTTTATAATTAAACAAGATAAGGTACTACAGTCAGTACTGTATAAACTAATAAATATAATGAACTATATGTATAAAATAACTAAGTATAAACTGATAGTATAAACTAATAAGGTAATAGGTAAACTAAATATAAGCTAATAACTCAGTTTATTTTACTTTGAAGTGTTTGCTTTCATGACAATAAAAATAAATAACATAATAATAAGAATTTTAGATACAGGTGGATAATGACTGTATAAATGGGTCATAAGGGATGCGAAGAGAATTAAATTATTTTTTTCTCAGTATGCTTCCTTTTTGTATCACTTCCAATGAATAACATTTTCATATTATTTCTGCTAACTCTTTCTATTACATTTGCCAGATTGACCTTGTGAATACAATTGGTGAAACATATGCTCTTGGGGCCTCTGGAGTTGTAATTTGGGGAAGCTTCACTTTAACCCAAACAAGCGTAAGTTGAATTAATAGTAAATAGAGGAAATTTTTTCATTATTTAATGTATTTTGATACTGTGCTATTGAATAATGAAATAAGTGCTATGCTTGCCAGATAGTAGTAGATGATCAGTGATAATTACTGAATCAAGCATTCTTGCTTTTGTAATTTTATTTTAAAAAGGCCCTCCCGTTGATCGTCGATTTGCTCTAGCGGGCCCAGTAACGTCTCCGTTGGAGACTTTGTTGTTACTGTGTTTGGCATATCGAATACTCTCGGTAGCTTGCCGGTCTCTCCGAGAGGGGCGGAGGAATCGAACTCGGGTCGGCCATGTTGGCCGCTTGTAAGGCGAACGCCCTACCTGCTGTGCTATCACTCCAGCCCAAATTTTATTTAATAAATTTTATTTAATAAATTTTATTTAATAAATGAGAAATTTTATTTAATAAATTTTATTTAACAAATTTTACTTAATAAATGAGAAATATATTCTTTGTTTTGTCAGTAAAAGTATCAGTGATAAAATAAATTAATGATATTAAATGAAAATAAAAAAGTGAAATTGGTTGAAATTCACTAGATTGTTTCAAAGAAGCAAAAGTAAGATTCTAATCTCAATGTATTGACAGAGTATTTTTCTGCTACATTGCTTGGCAATAGTGTTAGCAAGAAAATGGATTTTCTTGCACTAGGGTTCTTGAGAAGTTGATAGATCTGGGTATCCCCAGATATCCAGGCCTCTCCTTTACCCATGAATAATGTCACCAGTCCTGTTCCATACCATCTATTCGCCTTCTGTGAAGAATAGCCAGGTGTCCCTATGTACTCTCTGTATCCTGTGTATGCTTTCCTCAGTCTCCAGCCACCCATGGCTACATGCAAATGGGCGAGACCCCTGTGATCAATACATTGTCACTACCTGGGTGTTCAAGTACTACCTGAACAGGAGCTTTCCTGGGCATCTATCTGAGCCCTACTGTATTCTGTCCCTATCTGGCCATGTGTGGCCTGCCTGTACTCGTCCCCTTTCCTAGGCAATGCTGTACCTGAACCTGGAAGCCAGGGGGGAGAGGAGAGAGTCTACAGTGTATGTAGAGGGAAATAAGGGCTTCCGTTTAGCAGCTGCCAAATCCCACCCCCAGTGATTTCACTATCAATTCTGATTGTCTAACTGTTCTGTGTGCGGATATTTGAGATTTAAAGTGATCTGGTGCTCCACACCTCTGTCTCTGCTCTATCATTATTAGTACTCTGGAAGAAATTTAATTATTCAGTATATAATTGCTTAGTTTTTCATTCATTCAGTAATGTTTGGACACTATTTATTCATTTAATTACTGCATAAGAATAGTGTATTATAGAGATATGCAAAAATAGCCATGGGTCAAATCTGGCTGACTTCTTTCTTTGTACAACAAATTAATACTTCAGGACTAACAATAACTTGTATTTTTAAAAATATCGGTTTATATCAAAAGAATATCTCATGAAATATTTTACAATGTAAAATAAAAATCTCCATGTCTATCAGTAAAGGTTTCAAAAACAAAAATAAAACATTAATTTATTAAAATTTTAGTTAATTTTTTAAGAATTTTTGTTAGTGAAACACCATGAGGTACAGTTGTAGACATAAATTTTTGTCCTTGGGTTTCAGTTATACAATGATTACGTAACCATCCCTCCACCTGTGCCCAGTCTCCACTTCCAATGCTTCCAATATACCTTCCACCCCATATCCCCCCATCCCACTCCACCCCTATGGCAGGGCATTACCTTTTTTTTTCCTCTCTCCTTTTGGATGCTGTGGTTTGCAAGAGACATTGAGTGGCAATCATGTTCTCTCTATAGTCTACTTTGAGAATGCATCTCTCATCCTGGGAGGATCCTCCCAACACCCTTTATTTGGAGCTCTCTTCTCTATCTGAGCTGCCTTTTCCTTGAGCATTTGCGGCTAGCCTCCAAGCCATGGAGTGTAACTCCTGGTACTTATCTCGACGGTTCTTGTTAGTTAGTCTGTTATTTTGTTACTTTATATTCCCCAAATGACTGCAATCTTTCTATGTCTGTCCCTCTCTTTCTGACTCATTTTGCTTAGCATGATACTTTCCATGTAGTACCACTTGTATGTAAATTTCATGACTTCATCTTTTCTAACAGCTGCATAGTACTCCATTGTGTAGATGAACAAAGTTTCTTCAACCAGTCATCTGTTCTTGGGCACTCGAGTTTTTTCCAGATTTTGGCTATTGTGAATAGTGCAGCATTAAACATAGAAGTGCAAATGTCATTTCGACTGTACTTTTTTGCCTCTCCGGAATATATTCCCAGGAAAGGTATCGCTGGTTCAATTGGGAGCTCAATTTCCACTACTTTGAGAATCGTCCATACTGTTTTCCAAAAATGGCTGAACCAGTTGGCATTCTCACCAGCAGTGAAGGAGGGTCCCTTTCTCGTCACATCCACACCAACACCGGTTGCTGTTGTTCTTTTAGATGTGGGCCAGTCTCTGTGGTGGGAGATGATAGCTCATTGTGGTTTTCATCTGCATCTCGCTGATGATTAGTGATGTAGAGCATTTTCTCATTTGCATTTTAGCCATTCAGATTTCTTCTTTGGAAAATTTTCTGTTCATTTCATCACCCCATTTTTGAAGGGGTTAGATGTTTTCTTCCTGTAGCGTTCAATCAGTACTTTGTATATCCTTACCAACCTCTTAGATGGGCATTGGATAAGTATCCTTTCACATTCTGTAGGTTGTCTTTGTATTTTGGTCACTGTATATTTTGAGGGCAGAAGCTTCTAAATTTAAGAGCCCCGTTTGTTTATCTCTGTTTCCTCTTGGTTCATCAGTGGAGTGTCATCTTTGAACATACCATTAGCCTCAATCTTATGGAGGGTTTTGCCGACCTTGTCTTCAATGTACATTATGGATTTTGGCTTGATGTTGAGATCTTTAGTCCATTCTGATCTGACTTTTGTTCATGGGGTTAAGTCGAGGTTTAAGCACATTTATTTTGCATGTGGTTGTCCAGTTATGCCAGCACCATTTGTTAAAGAGGCTTTCCTTGCTCCATTTCACATTTCTTGCTCCCTTATCAAATATAAGATGTTCATATATTGGGGTTGTGTGTAGGGATATTTCACCCTGTTCCATTAGTCTTCAGCCCTGCCTTTTTTCCAGTACGATGCTGTTCTAATTATTACAGCTTTGTAGTAGAGTTTGACTTTGGGGAGGGTATTGGCTACTCACGTCTTTTTTTCAGGAATTGCTTTAGCTATTCATGGGCATTTGAGGTTCCATATGAACTTCAGGAGTGCTTGATCTATTTTTTTGAAGAATTTTGTGGGTATCCTTATAGGGATCACGTTGAATCTATATAATTCTTTCTGGAGTATTGCCATTTTGACTATATTATTTCTTCCTATCTATGAGCAGGGGATATGTTTCTATTTCCTTCTGTCCTCCTTTATATCATGGAATAGCGTTTTGTAGTTCTCATTGTAGAGGTCCTTTACCTCTTTAGTTAGGCTGATTCCAAGGTATTTAATTTTGTGGGGCATGACTGTAAATGGGATTATTTTTTTCATGTCACTTTCGTCTCTCTCATTATTTGCATATAGAAACGCCATGGATTTTTGGGCATTGATTTTATAGCCTGCGACTTTTCTGTACAAGTCTATTGTTTCTAGGAGTTTCTTGGTAGAGAATTCAGGATTCTCGAGATATAGTATCATATCACCTGCAAACAGAGAGAGGTTGATTTCTTCCTTACCTATCTGGATGCCTAACTTATCTTTTTCTTGCCTAATTGCAATTGCAAGTACCTCAGTACTATGTTAAACAGAAGTGGTGATTGTGGGCATTCTTGTCTTATCCCTAATCTTAGAGTCAGTAAACATTTCAAAAATAAGATTAAAAATTTTAGTTTAAAAAAGTAAAGGTAAAGTAAAAAGTAAAGGCCCTCCCGTTGATCATCGATTTGCTCGAGCGGGCCCAGTAACGTCTCCATTGGAGACTTTGTTGTTACTGTGTCTGGCTGGAGCGATAGCAGGGCTGGAGCGATAGCACAGCGGGTAGGGCGTTCGCCTTACACGCGGCCAACATGGCCGACCCGAGTTTAAAAAAAAATTTTAAAATATTTTTAGAAATTTCTAAATTTTAAGCAATGTGGTAAAGATACTTCCATGCTTTTCAACTCAGTTGAAATGATGCCTCTGAGATTAAAAAATCAGAGGTACAGTTTAGTTGGAAAAGTAAAGGGATGCAATTGGATTCGAAAAGAGAAATATATAGACAATCAGGAGTTAGTTTTGAAAACAATATTAAATTGTTCAAAACAATATAAAGAGAGATTAGAAACACTTTTTCTTTAACTTTTAAAGGTTAAATTTAGTTGTGTTTGTTTTATTTATTTCTTCATTTTTAATTTTTAACCAATGTGAAGTACAAGGCTATAAAATGCTTCATAGTTAAGTGCCAGGCATAAAGTTTTCCAACAGCAATCCCATTGCCACTGTCCACCTTTCTCCACTAATATCCCCATTTTTTCCACAGTCCCTAGCCTTCCTCTAGAGCAGGCACTTTCTCAATGCCCACTGCCCTGGTATTCTGGAGCCTAAGTTAGCCCCCACCCCAGCTCAGTGCCAAGCTTCCTATTGAAGAACAATTCTGCTCTTCTTTTGCTTTTGCACCTTTGTTATCCCATTAAGGTAGTTTCTTTAGTCACCAATCTGTTCTTGGGCACTTGTGCTGCCTCCATATTTTGGTTATTGTAAATAGTACGGCAAAGAACATAGGAGTATTGGTGTCTTTTCTGCTTTGTGCTTTTGGAAACTTGAGGTATATTCCAAGGAGTGGAATTGCTGGATCATACGAAAGCTCAATTGCTAGCTTTTTGAGTAATGACCATTTTGAGCAGTGATTATTTGAAATAAAATTTGATGCTTTATTTTAAAAACAAATATTCTCATTTAAAATGCCTTACCGCATTTAAAATTCCTCATTTGTTTTAT